TATAAAAGTTCACAGAGGAAGCGCCGGAAAACAATGTATTGTCAACAACATAAAATTTATGGCAATTTAGATGTCAACAGAATAATAACTACGATAAAAAAGCATGAGAGAAGTGTGCGAGAAACGGTCAACAAATTTCTTATAAAATATTTTGATTTTTGCTGGGTGTAAATGAAAACTCAATGAGTATTAAGGAAAAGAAAAATTTGAAAATAATAAACAGAAAAAGAGATGGGTGCACAAAAACTTTAGTTAAATGTTTTTCCCAAATTCTTAAAAAGTAAGCAAATCGATTTTTTTAATGTTACTTTACATCTATTTTCTTTTTTATGAATAAGGTCATAAGCATGTACCGTTTTTATAAATAAATCTTATAGCAATATGCTATATATTTATTTATACACTTTTTGGCTGGCGAAATATGTAATTTTTCAACTTAATAGAAAAGCGTATTAACCACATTACTTTTTTTTAATATTGAATGGCGCAACACAACAACTCTTTTTGTTGCACGTAACCCTTGAACACGTGCCTGTCATCTATTTCTTCTGTTTCGACATTTTTGTATTTTGCATTTCTTTCATTTTGACGTCATTCGCATTGTCAGATTTTTGAAATTCGTTTTGGTTCGACATTCTGCTATTTCATAATTCTTTCATTCCCATGTCATCCATCTTCCATTTCTTACCTTCCATTGCCGTTCGCATCGTCGAACGTGCCTGTCAAACACTGCCGCCATCATGCTTTTCAGTTTGGTGGCAGGCACGTCCGCTGTTTGGCAGGCACGTCCGCTGTTAGAGAGAGAATAGACAAAAAGGGGCATAGGATTCCATACTTGTAAGTATATACGATGGTGTAAATAAAGCAAAACAGACGATAATTTAATACAAGCGTGCTCATAAGAAGAAGCATAGCTTCTATCGCTATCACCTGTAATTGATGCGCCTTGAGTCGGGATTGATTTCTGGCATGAACGAAACACACAAGATCGCGCAAGAGGGAAAGAAAGAAATGTTTTCTAGATGCTAAAATCGCGAGGCCACGCGTGATTCCGCGTTGCGACCAGGAGAGAATCTATTGTGAATTCATTTTGCATAATCAAAGAGGAGGCATCCGCTTGACATCTGCTGGTTGTTGTCAAAGTTGTTCGTGTGTTTTTGCTGATTACCTGATTTATTAGCAGGCGCGATAATTTTCTTCTAGTTGATTTGAATAATTTATTAAGTTTTAGAAACAATTAGTATTTTCAATTTCCAGTTAATCGTAAAGAGATCCTTATACACAAAAATTAGTGTTGTTTTCACCTATACACGGTTGGTAGTCATAGAAACGTGGGCAAAGTAATTAGATGAAAACAAAAAGTCAATATTTTGAACTATTTCTGAATTTTCATATGTTTTTAATATTTTTGGATTTTAGCTCTATTAAATTAAGAATGATATGAATGGAATATAAGTTATTCTGAATGGTATTACCGTAAAAAGTTTTCGGATCAATATTTTTATTGTTAATTAAATTAACCATAGAGCAACGGAATTTTTTCAGACATCCCGACTTTAATATGGAAGAAACTAATGCAGAAACAATGAGTGCATCATTAGATGAACCCATAAATAAAAAAACGCTATCAAAAGCAAACGCGCAGAAGTACGTTTCGATGTTCCGCATCGATGGAGTTCCAATTTTACCGCCATTGGTAAGTACGTGGGTGCATACATATACATATATGAGATTAGCGGTCGAGTAACGCTGAGGGCCAGTTTTTCAGTGCCAGTTTAAACTTAGATTAAGTAAACTGAGTTTAAATTGGATAGCTGGCTGGCATTTGATTCGCTGATCTGAGTTTAAACCAGCCAAATCGGGCGTTTAAACTTAGTTTAAACCATGGCTGTGCACTGAAAAACTGGCCCTGAGCGCATCACTGGTTGCAAGTTTTTTTATTCTTTTTTGGGTATAATTTTGCTTGTATTTCTAAGATTACGCAAGAAAAACGCCGGCAAATGCAAAAATTTAAAGAGAAGGCAGTTAAGGTTGAACAGCGCCTTGAGGAATGTCGTCGCAGAAGGGGGAGATATAACTTGGAATATTCCACGGTCGGTGAAGAGTTAAAACTAGATCAAATAGGAGGGAGTAATAACCACGATATTAGCAGCAGCAGCAGCAGTAGTGTGTCTGAACACATAAAACAAGATAATCAACATGAAGAAGTTGAAAAATCATATCTGTTGCTTTCAGATCTTTTAGTTCAAAATGAAGTCGGTTCTTCATCGATTATACCTAATCAAAATAATTGCAAAATGAACCGTCAAGCCTCCGGAGAAGCTCGTAATAATGATTTAGAAATTGTCGAACTACGGTCTTCGGAAACGAATCTCATGCAGCGGATGCAAAAGTTAAAAAAATCCGAAACATTGATCATTGAACATGGTTCCAATACACTCTTAACACCTTTATCAGAAGATGAAATTAAACTTTTTCAACAACAGCAGCAGCAAATTAATTTGGACCATCCGAAACAGAAACCTTTAGAACGTAAAGTTTATTTATATGAAGTTGACGAGGATGAAAATCCCAATTTTCAAATACATCAGAGACCCAAACCATGCATGGATAAATCTTTAATGAAAATACCATCAATATGCATTGATCCGCCAACACCAATCACAGCAACGTGTACTTTTAGTGACAGTATAAATCAGCAATGTAGCATTGATATTATAAATGTGAATAATGACAAGAAAGCCAGCAAGGAAACAAACAAGTCATTGATGGAAGAATATGGTTCAGATGAAAGCTTCAATTATACAGGGTCCACGACAAATCTTGAACGTGACCTTAAAACACATCGGAAGGTAACGAACATTACTAGCAAAATTATCAAGTTCGAAAACTTTTCTACAACGGAACAAAAAGAAGACACAGCGAAATGTTCTAATATAAGGCCTCCGCAGCGATCAGCCACAAGTCCATCGTTGAATGCAGGAACTTCGGAGAGAACACAGATCGCTCCCGATTCTCTAGGCGTGACACATGGTTCACAGAGTCACAACGGTTTGGTCCGCTCCAATTCATTCACGTTAGAGGGTCCTTCAGAAGCATTAATCGAACATATCCGTCAACAAAAATTACCCCCTAACAATAATTACCCCACTAAGCGTTTGAATTTATTTTCCATTAGTGCTACACGCGACACTGTGGAATCAAAAGCCAAGCGTGTACAGAAAATAGATTTGAAATCCCGTTCAGTACCAACGCGCTTACAGCTAAAGCCTTCTACCACAAACATAACCACTCCGTCCCTTTCACATTCAACTAATAACAAAATAAAACGTTCGCCATATGAACAAAAGGTCACCAAACCAAAGATGGGGCGCCAACTGAAAAAATCAGCTTGCGGCACCTCATCTATCAAACAAATGAAGACCAGAACTTCGATGCCGAGCATACCTTCAGACAAAAAATCGACAGAAGTTGCACGCGAGCCAGCAACAAACAACCTACACTTTAACGACATTGAAACTGAACACCGTCAAAAATTCCTAGAATTGTTGGCACATCAAAAAACGGAACAGCAACGAATGCACCAGTTATTCGAAGAGCAACAACAGCACTTGCTCGAACAACTTACTGCCAAAATGAGTAGCGCGAATATTTGCCTGAAAAACGTTAATGATAATGGCTCGTTGGACAATTCTCCTTCCGCCAAACCGATCTTGGTCGCTACTCTGTCGTTGCAATCACCAACAATTACTGCCAACAGTTCAGTTGCCTCCAATTCCATGGATAGCACGACTGGCATATGTGAGTTGTCATCTCTAGAGTTATCTGCTTGTTCGTCTACCATACCGACAACGTCGCAAAGTAGCAACCGCTGCACACCGAGACGTCGCCTTTTTTCGCGTGATTTCTCTCCTTCAGCGTCGTTATGCAGTAACAATATAGTGGATGCTCAGAACGTGAACCGCTCAAATGGAACAACTCCGGGGCGCTCCGGCAGCCGCGTAAGTATATTTTTATGTTATGTAGTTTTATAGTATGAAATGCGGCCTTGAAGGAAGATGCTTACACAAATTCGCAAAATTTTCATTTTCAAATTTTATAAGTGGCGTTTTTTTTTTGAATGATCGCATTTCGCTATTTCGGATGTATGTATGTACATTAGTATTTAACATTACAAAGTAAAATTAGCCTATTATGTATTTTATCTCTCTTATCTTCTTTTCCATTTAAAAGCTTTACACTAATAACTAGTTGATCGCATTTCAGTATACTTGAAATATTATCAAAATGATGTTCCAACACTCAATCTCNATTAGTATTTAACATTACAAAGTAAAATTAGCCTATTATGTATTTTATCTCTCTTATCTTCTTTTCCATTTAAAAGCTTTACACTAATAGTTGATCGCGTTTCAGTATACTTGAAATATTATCAAAATGATGTTCCAACACTCAATCTCCAAATAAGTAACGAAGATCATATATTTTGTGCCTTATCTATTAACCAATCAAATCTAGCATTGAACTGGCGGTTTTTTAATTCCAGTTGGCAATTGTCTGTTAAAAAGAAATTTTGCAATGGAAGCCGCACTTGTAATACCATAAAAGTAGTTTCTAAGATTTATACCATTTTGTTTAAATAAATATACATATTTTGTTCATTTTATACCCGAGCGCACTTGTGCACAAGGGTATATTAATTTTGTTCACATAACGGTTGTTTGTAACAGCCAAAACGAATCGAGATAGATATAGACAAATGTATACATAAATG